CATGTCCCTTCGTGCTCGTAGGGTGAGGGCCCTAAAGGCAGGCGGGTTCTAGGGCCGTGTTTATGTTACCAGCACAGTCTTTTACAACCGTTTTAAAATGCAGGCGGGGTATAGGGCCACGATTACGCTACCAGCACAGGCTTTTGGGCGCAGAAGGCTAGCCCTGAAAACGTGTTTTAATGTTGAAGTACCATGGACCATGGATGTTTCCCCTGCGACCAAATAGCTCGCGCCATGGCGCGAGCTATTTCGTCATCAGGGCGCAGAAAGAGTGCTAGCTGCTTACGACGTCACCCTACGAGCGCGAAGAAAGGGGACATACGTCAATCCGCTAGGGCCCTCACGAAACACTACGAGCACAAAGGGAGGGGACATACGTGTTCTGAAAGTGCGGTCCCCAAAACTTGGGTGCTATTTGAGTACGCTCGGCCCCCAAAAAGCAGGATGCTAGTTGAACACGCTCGGTCGCGAAAACTTGGGTGCTATGTGAGTATGGTCCCCGAAAAGCCGGATGCTAGTTGAATGCGCTGGGCCCCCGACAATTGGTTACTATTGGAGTCAGCTCCGGCCCCAAAAGGCAGGATGCTAGCTGAACATTATTTGAGGACGCTCGGTCCCCAATGCCCACATGAACTGCAAGCAATGCAACATCAAATCATGCCAAAAACGATGCGTCGCCAAATCATGCCAAAAATGATGCCCGAAAGTACGCTCAAAACAAGGTCATGTAAACTGCCTTCCAATGTTCCATTCTGCATTGCTTTCCAGCCAAAGACGCAGGCACGTTTGCACAGAATGTGGGTGGGGTGTGGGGGCGTCTTCGTTGGCCGAGGACCCCCGCGCCCCATTCCACATTCTCCTCGGCCCCCTGCTGTAGTGTCACAGGAAAGGGAGTGTTGGTTCATCGAAAAGTGTCAAAATTGTCATCTTGGCGGTTTCAACTGCATGACAGAGCGTGTTCACGATCCCGCATGTACAGCGGCGTGCCACACACACACACACACCCACGTGCCCGCCCACCCACCCGCCCACGATCCTAGCCGGTGCACTAGCTCAAAACTGAAAGTTGTTCTGTTCAAGCAAAAGACTCATGCCACAAGATGGGCTTGTGCAAGATTCGGCGGTTGCCCCTCCCTCTTACAGGATGTGATTTCCCAGGTTCGTCCCAAGTTCGCCATCTTAGGCTTTCCTCATGCCGGGTTGCCAAAAAAGCTACCATCTGGAATCTACTGTTATGTGTGGACACCCATGTTGAAACCTTGCATCAAGGCGCCCTAAAACCTCGTAGCCTTGAACCTTAACCCTCAGCTTAAACAGATCCATCTGAGCCCGACATAACAGTTGCACCTAGGCCCTAAGCCGTCGATCCAAATCCCTGAAAGGTTGAAGCCCCGCATTTCCCAAAGCTGCATTTGAGATCATGGGCCCAAACCTTCAACGGGCAGAATCCCAGCCCCTCCTCCCCCCTTCCGCCCAACAGAAACTTCCCCGGTGACAAGGCCGGTGACTTGGATGGTGCGCGGGCTCCAAGACGCGCGTGCTGTCGACAGCGCCAAAAAACTCAGCGTTGCAAGTTTCAACCCAAGACAACGCTCCAAGCAGAGCTCCTGAAATTGTTCAGTTTTTGCCTATATGCATGCCTTGTGCCCCAGCCGTGGAATGGCTGAAACACTCCAACAGTTTATAGGTTTTCGAGGTAAAGGGTGCCGGAGTCCGAGCGGAGCAGTCGTTTTTCTGGCTCAGGTTTAGTTTCGCCCTTCGGAATGTTGGAGTCGATTGTCGCAACTCACGTATGACGTATGCTCACCTGAGCTAGCAAACGCTAGTTGCACTGAATGGTGCTTTTGGCTTGCTCGCTGCCTCAGTGAACGTGAGACTCATGGCAGGAGCACATCCTAGGCCTGCAACATGCAAATCCCGATGGAAGGGAGACGCGAAAGGGGCCCATCGAGGACCCCCGCAGGGCAGGAAGACACATCACCGACAAGTTTTCGTGACGGAAGGCGGTTCAAGTGCTAAAACATGCGCCAGGCGATTGGCACGTTGGGCGATGCAGAAACTTCCTTCGCGATGTAAACAGCGCCACAGCATTTGTAGGCTCCTGGGTGGTAAGCCAGAGCATGCTGCGCACTACGTCCGTGGAGGCCATGGCGTGTCCACAGTGTTTGGCGAGTCTGCAGACATCTTGCCAAAAGGAAAGCCAAAAAGATGTATTTTGTGAGGTTTAAGATCGCCCCGATGACGCACGGGCTTCTGAAACTGCATGACACGCGTGGTGGAGATGTTTTTTTGGATGTCATGGCCAGCCTACACCAGTTCGGTTTGGGTTTCTGAAGTGTTGGTGTGTGTCTTGCTCGAAGGATGTTTGCCGAGGTCCAAAATTTTCAACACCCCTTACACGACAGTTGCTTTGACTGGCTACCTCTGCTATCGCTTCTTGCCATCATCGTTGCCGTGTCTGAATGAGGCCTCGAATTCAGCGCTCTGAAAGATGCTTTGCCCACAGCCGTGTTTCTTCTCTTCAGTGCCTCCCAGTGTAGACTGGATCTTGCAGGACGGTCAGATCAGCAAACGTTAAGCGATATACACATCGACATTGGTAACGCAAGCGAAGCAAACCAACGAACACCTATAGCTCTACAAGTTCTAGCTGTCACCGTCGCCATGATTCGTCCCCCGGGGAGATGCGGGAGCCTCAGACTTAAAGTTCACGTGACGTTTGTGGGTTCTTGGAGGGTATAGAGCAGTATCGAAGTTTGGAAGTTGTGGACATCTTCCGTAGTTGTGGCTGAATTCAGACACGTTTGGCTCAGACCTGTTTCTGTTCAAGGTCCCCAAGCAAGCAAAACGATACATAAGTTTCAGAGTAGAAACAGTTACTAGACTGTTACTAGCATCAGGTCGGAGATTGAGCGCTTGCAGCCCAAAATCCCGTAAGCTAAAGCTGAACCGATGACACTAAGGCTGCTAGCCCGATTGACTTGCCTTAAACACGAGCCCTGTTGCTTTGTCACGGTGCCGCCGCGGGCAGCGACGGGCCCGACCACGCTGACTCCTGAAACTCTTGAATCCAGGAAACTTGCCCTTGGGAAGGGATGAAGAAGGGCTTTTCAAGGAACAAAGCAGAGGTTCCAGGGCCTCCAGAACATCCCCAAGCATAGTGTGTCTAAACCCCATGATGAAACCCAGAACAAGGTCACGGCGCCCTGGTGCCGTGCCTCGCCGCTCGGCAGCCCTAAGCATTGTGGTCCAAGGTGGACTTTTGAGCTTTCAATACGAAACCCCTTGGGCCCAAGAAGGCCCCTCTGCTGAAATCACGGTTTCAAGGTGGGCCCAAGGCCCCTTTCTCTATGGCAAGATGATGGTTGCAAGTTGGGTCCAAGAAAGCCCCTCGGGCGAAGTCAATAGTTTCAAGTTGGGCCCAAGAAGGCCCTGGTGAGATAATGACTTCAAGCGGGGCCCAAGCAGGCCCCGCCCAAGTTGGGCTTCAAAAGGTCCCGCAATGAATTTCAAGTTGGGCCCGGGAAGGCGGCTTCTAGATGAGGCCCCCCCCCCCCCCCCCCGCCGCGGCGACATCATGGTTTCAAGTTGGCCTCCGGTGAGCTCATGGTTTCCAATTGGGTCGAAGAAGGTCAAGAAGGTTTCAACTTGGACTTGGACCCAAGAAGCTATCTCCAGTGAAATCATGGCTTCAAGTTGGGCACAATTCTGGTTGCAAGTTGGGCCCAAGAAGGTGAGATTTTCAAGTTGGGCTCTGAAGGTCCCTCCAGTGAAGACATGGGGGAAGGCTTGGCTTGGAGAAAGGAGCGTTTCTGCCAGCTCCAGCTCTTTTTTGGGGGGCATTCTTTCTCGCTCTCTCTCTTCCTCTCTCGCTCTCTCCCCTAGCTTTGAAGCAGCTTAGGTACCCGGAGAATCTGACTGAAGTCGAGAGAGGTTGAAGTTGGCCATTTTTGCAAGTCTGATCCAACATCACAAACTTTCGAGTGAAAGGCATTGCAATAAGATCACATGAGCGAGTTGAAGGCTGTTCGTGTTTGTGCCAGCCGTTGAGCTAAATCAATCTCGCACATGCAGGCGTTCAAGCATTTTGGGTTGACTTGGGCTGTGCCCCATTCCAGTTTGTATCGCGTGTTCACGCTAGCTACACGTTTGGCAGAACCGCCGGCAAGCACTCCGACTGGTTTTGCGGTGCTGATGGCTGCCTGGTTTTCTGTTTGTGACAACGGCGTCCTCACCGGCAGTCAATGTCAGGCGTGTTCGCAAGACGACTATAGGTGGTTTACGTGAAGCTGCTTGTGGGGCTTGTGGGTTTTGCTTTGGTTGGACCAGCCTGGCGAGCCGCAGGCCAGTCCGGCGCGACGCGCTGGCAGGTGCCGCAAGCGCTGTTGCAAGCCATGCCAAAGAGCGACGATGGCAGCAGGCCGTGGCCTAGATGCAGTGCTGTGAGCTTCCACGGTCGAGTTGGATTTTAAATCCTCAGGTATTCCATGATCACACACTACCGGTCACCAAGTGCACAATGTGTAGAACTAACGTGTGGATGTGGAGATCCTTCTGCATCATCCGGCCATGTCCACGCCACAGCCGCGCGACACAAAGGAGTCGAGGGAGCGTAGTATGTGAAGTAGATTGAAGTAACGATCCTGCACGGTGTGTGTGTTCGGATGACACTGTGTCGAAATGGCAGTGGTGCAGCAGCATACGTAGTTGAATCGTCGATCTTTTCGCAAGACTCTGCAAACATGTCATTTTCATTGAGCATGGGCAATGGTTTGACCTTGCCTATCAGGCCTCGGCAGTCATTGCAAGCCTTCGCCCAAGACGTTTGCAGCTGGATGTCGCGATCTCAGACACGAGCAAGACTGTCCGTAGAGCGTGTAACTTCCTCGGTTTGTGGGAGGAAAGCCTTGAAAGCCTTTCAGGTCTCCATCTGCAATGCGCTCATTTCGGCGATCGGCAGAGGTTCGCAATGGCTGCAGTCCCTTTCCGCCCTTACCACAATGCAGAGGTGGCAGCAGCAGTTCTTGACTTGCCGCTTTCTTGTGCTGGTTGTGGGCTGCTGTTTGCTGCAGGTCACGGCTAAACCGCGATCACATCTCTTTCAACTCAAGCATCTCAGCATGCGGGCGAGGAGGTGCATGGATCCATGCTCTTCGCTTGTCCAGAACCTTGCCGACGGCGGGGTTGAGCTGCGACGTGGTTACATTGAACGCAGGACCGTGCGATTGGCGATTCACGGTCGTGTTAGTGACTTTGTTTGGGCAGCTTCAGCTTGTGACGCCCTTGCCCTGGACAGGAATCTCCGCTTGTGAGACTCTCGGCTGCTGGACGATGGCTTTGGCAATCCTACGTGACATGTGCGATGGAGTGAAGCTCAACCTGGTGACCTTCGGCGCCATGTTGAGTACTGCCAGAAGGGCGGCTGCGTGGGAAGTCCCTTTGGCAGATCGCTTAAGATGCAGTTGACAGTCTTTTCAATCCTGTTCATCCACTCTCTCTTGCCACGTGCAAAAAAGTGACAGGTGGTGCTTGCATCTCTGCTTGAAATGCGTCCGCGTTCCCTCCACCCGAACGAGGCTATTCTTGTGGTGAATCTGGTTGTCTTGATGTTGCCTAGTTGTTGCCTACACGAGTCTACACGAGTCTACAGTCACAAGATGGTTTGCAGAAGGTTTGCTGTAATGCAGCGCTGTCTGCATTGCGCGCGCAGCGTGGCAAGTGGGCAGCCGCCAGCTTGTTGGCCGCAGAGGCCTGTGATTCACATGGACCAGTGCCATGAATAATGCGGGATGTATCCGATGGTGCATCGGATGATGTATCCGATGATGTATGCATTTTGGCATCTCTCACTCCCTGAAGCGCCTGACCTCGGCATCGACCAGCTTGGTGCTGAGTTCCTTGCTGGGCCAGGGCGGCCAGGGCGGCCAGAGTGGCCAGGGCCAGGGCGCTTGGCGGGAGGTATTCCGACTTTTCTTGCAGTGGGAAGACATGTCCATCTTGCCGACAGTGGCGGCCATGAATGCAGGCACGGCACTCTTGTTCCGAGTGATGCGTCTCCCTTCTCTGGACAGAAGCCTTCTCCCCGGCAGATGCGTTGTGCAGGAATCACGGCTTGCCACAAAAGCAGTCGCTGGGAATTGTCCCTGTCCATGCTCGACAAGATGATGTCTTCCAGCGACCTGAGGACGCTGCTGTGATGCCCACGTAGCTTCGAGTCGTAGTGTTTCCAGTCTTAAGCTCCGCAATGGCAGCGGGCTGCAAGAGAGCCTTCAGACAAAGGGTTAGGACGACAGTGGTGTCAGGCCTGATGCCATCACTTGCGCATCGACGCTGGGCGGCTGCGAAAGGCCAGGCTTTGGAATGCCTCCCTTGGCAACAGGGTATCCCCCACATGCACGCAGACATTCACACATAGACACGAGGCGCTAATCTGCCAAGCTGTCGCTTCGCAGTGGCAGGGGGCAGCGCTGGCAGCTCACTGCCTTGCTGCTGCGAGCCTTCCGCCGTCTCTCCACACGACTGGATCTGGCGGCGCTTTGGCTACACGAAAGCTAGCTGCTTGGAGTTTGGAGTTCTTGTGCAGACCTTCGTGTCTTCAGCGACTTGAGGTGACTCTTCCTGGTCAGGGATAGGTTGGATAGGTCACACGGGGAGCCCAAGATTTCCCGAGCACTTCGGCACCTTTCGCCTTTCGGAGTCCGAGCTTGTTCAGCCCATCCGGCCTCTCAAAAGTTTTTCAGCCCTGGGGTTTCCCATACCCCTTTTTCCCCTTCGGACATGCGAGCAATGTCTGTGAAAGTCTGTTGTCACGTCTCAGGACTCAGGAAACGGCTCGACTTTTTCGGATTCGGTTGTTTCCGGTCTCGTAACAGTTCCAACTACATACGAAGAAAGAAAATGGTTTTGGCCCCCTCCACCCCCCCGGTTCTCCGTTTTGGGTTCTCCGTTTTGGCGAGTCGAGGTGCACCATGCGGCGCTCAGCGCAGCTGCAAAAGGCCACGCCTGGCGATCCGCTACAGATGCAGTGCACGAGGCCATGCAGCGAGGCACATGCCCCTGACACACCAGCAGTCGCGGGGACGGGAGCAGCGAGGACATGACAAGAGAGAGTGAGGAGAAAAGGGGATACGAGGGAGACGGGAGGCCAAGCCAGTGAGGCGGAGGCTCAAGGGCCCAAGGGGGACTGCGGATGGCCCCTTGTGCCCCTTGTGCCCCTTGTGCAGGCTTTCTATCCTCCATTGCCATCAACACTGCAGCCTTCGCCTGTCAGAGCGCGAAGCGCTGGAGGTGGTCTTTCGAGCTTTCTGGTCAGCTCAGGCTGGCTGTGCCAAATGCAAGAGGATGCAAAGAGTACGTTCTGTTGTAATATCAGCATCATGGAGAGGACTACTGCCGTGCGTCCAGATCATTTTGCTGTAACGTCCCTGCTGGCCTCGGCGTGGCCCGTTGCTCTGCACTCGCTCGAGGCCTAGACTACCGGGGTGTGTCTAGCGTGATCATCTTAAGGAAGGGACCGTTGCTCCTTTTGTTTCTCTTGCTCCACCTGCAGCTTCCACACTCGAAACAGAACACGCTTCGCGAATCGCACGTTTCACTCCAGTCACATCTACGAACTAGCGGTTTTAGTCTTCTGAGACTCTAGGTCGTTCCTGAGTGACTCGTGGTTTTGATTGAACATCGGTTAAGTGCCTGTTGACTGTGATGTCTTAGATAATTCAGTTCAACTTGAAAGACCGCTGAGCTCACACGATAATCGTTCCACACGAGCCCGGTAAACTCCAGTTGAGTTTCACACAACAGAAAAATCCTGCTGAATCCCATGGATTTCCTTTTATTCCTCAAGCTCTTCAGTGCCTCTGTTGAATACAATTGAACACACGAATGCGCGGCCTGTTCAAGTCAGTTTGAGGGATGGTCCTGAGAGAGCGGAGGAATGCCGAGCAACGCACAAAAAAACAAGGGAACAACACCTGTGCCCTGCACTGCATTTCTTCTCAGGACAACACGTGTGCAAGTTGGGAGCAGACCTATGCGATTCCCCGCAAGCAAGGAAGCAAATCCGAAGCAGTTCCAGATTCCATGGCTGGTGGCCTTGTTCCCGGCCATGTGAAGATGTGATCGCATCATGAATCACGCCACATCATCGCAGGGCTTCGACTTGCTGCTTCTGAAGCCGGACGACCTTGCCTGCAGTTCCATCCTGACGATTCTCGGTTGCTGCCTGCGTTTTCGCGCGCATGTGTGTGTGTGTGTGTGTCTGTATATATATACATATATATATAAATTAAGAGGTATATGGTCACGCCCCCCCCCCCCCCTTCCCCTTCCCCAGGACCACACCTTGTGTCTGTATATTGAAGGTGTGCTTCTATGCTCTGCTTTCTGCACTTATGTTGTACAACGACAACCATGTAGCTTACGGTATGTGCAAGGTTTCGACAACTATGTGTTTTTGGTCTGTCCTGTGGTGTAGAATGTGCTTTTCTCACTACCCGTAGTTGGATGGTGTGTTTTCTTTTAAGAACGTTCTTTGGTACGTACATTATACTTGTGCATTGACATTACTAAAACTGATGTGTTGTTCTTCTCATATTTTTTCATCGCCGTTTCCCTTACTTGTGCTTCACGTACAGTCTGGTGAACAAGCGCGCTTTAATTCAAGGTAAGTTATTTCTCATCTACTAATCTAGCTTCAGGACCTAAAAGCGAATTTAGTTCAAGTGTTTAACATGTTCTAGGTTTTCTCACCCTGAATGAAATACATTCGATTGATTCGGCAAATTGGAATAGGTAGAATCTGAGAATCTCATTAATTACTTAACGTGCGCGGGTGTTTGTTTGTGTGTGTGTGTGTGTGCGTGTGCGTGTGCGTGTGCGTGTGCGTGTGCGTGTGCGTGTGCGTGTGCGTGTGCGTGTGCGTGTGCGTGTGCGTGTGCGTGTGCGTGTGCGTGTGCGTGTGCGTGTGCGTGTGCGTGTGCGTGTGCGTGTGCGTGTGCGTGTGCGTGTGCGTGTGCGTGTGCGTGTGCGTGTGCGTGCGTGTGCGTGTGCGTGCGTGTGCGTGTGGTGTGCGTGCGTGTGCGTGTGCGTGTGCGTGTGCGTGTGCGTGTGCGTGTGCGTGTGCGTGTGCGTGTGTGTGTGTGTGTGTGTGTGTGTGTGTGTGTGTGTGTGTGTGTGTGTGTGTGTGTGTGTGTGTGTGTGTGTGTGTGTGTGTGTGCGGGTGTGTGTGTGTGTGTACTGAGAAGCTAGCAGTGTGCAGCATTGATGCATTGACTATCGATCAATGGTGCGTTGCTATGCTGAGGACCCTCTCAGTTGAAGAATGCTGGCAGAGGGCTTTGTTGCTGAAGCAACGATTTCCAACAGACATGGGAGACGCCCTCGCGTGTGTCTCGTCATCAATGGTCAGGCTTTGGGGCGGTTTCGCCCGTTGTGCGTTAGCGCATGGCGTTGCAACGTTGCTTAGGCGAACGGCAAAGCCCCAGCATCGGGTGTTTGTTTCCTTAAGACCGCTTTACTGCCTTAGAGGCGGGTTTGCTCTTGCGGGTTCGCGCCGTGTCAGCACCGGCGAGCGCATCTTCACCGGTGTCGGCTGCCCTACAGGTGGCAGTTGCCGACGCTTGGGGGACCATTCCGTGGCGGAGCTCCTTGCCAGCTCAAACCCGACCTGCGTAATTGCGAGTCCCAAGCCGGCTCGGGGGCGGACGGTCAGGGCCTACAGTTCCGGAGTTGTTTGACCCCCGCGCTGTCCACTGTCCATCGGCCGCCCCGTCGTCCGTTGGAAAAACGGGTTCAAGCGCAGTGCAACCGATGGGACCGTGAAACGCCAGCCAGCGCAAGGCCAAGGACGAGGAGATGTCAGTGAGGCCGTGAGCACGAGACGCAGTCAGGGTGGCGGGTTTACCAGTTGCCCCTTAAGCACAGGCGCCCCGATCCAGGACTTCTTGGCGGTTGTCCATGACGACGGAACCGCAGGGCGACTTTTTCCGCTCAGGCGGCGGTTGAGGAACGTGCCTGCGAATTGCGATCCTTTTTTGCATTATTGGACGAAATCTTGTTTTGCCATCTGGAACTTCGTTCCACGCTTCGTCACGAAAGCTCCCCTTCAGTTTCTCAAGGAGCTTTCGTCCAAATATTGCGAACGAAGTGAGCCTGGAAGGCTTTCGGGGAGTGGGAAACCGGGACGCTCATGATGTCGCTCTCCGGGGAGGCGCGGCGACCCAGGAACGTCCATGGTTCGCCCCCGTGGCAGAGCGACCCACTAGTGCATACTGGTGCTCTTGCCGCTGGCTTCCCCATCGAGTTATGGCTGCAGATGCTCCCCCATGGTCGTGCCTTCCACATCTTCCGCCGCACACGGGCGAGCTGTTGCGGGCATCTTTCCAGTTTTGCTTGCTACGCCGTCACCAACGTTATGTAACCCATCATGGTTAACCCATCATGGTAGTGGTAGCTGTTGACATCACCTGACATTGTGGCTCATGGTTCTGGCACAATTCTCAGGTGATGCACTGACCAGCGCCTGTGAGACTTCGAGAGGGATCAAGCCTCTTCCAGCATTGTTGGAGGAGGCGGCCTTTGTGTTGAGGTGGCTATGGCCCACAAAGAGCGACAGAAGCGCCGACAAATGCGTGCAGCACTTTTCACCAGAGGACGGGCAAGGTTTGTTGAGCCGTTGTGCATTCTGCTGCAAGCGCCTTCGTCTGTAAAGCAGTGATGTTGCTTGAAGCAAGGTTCGGCTCTGAATTGTCATTAAGGCGAAGGCGATTTTTTGGAACAGCGCTGCGGAGCAGTAGGGACAAGAAAGACGCTAGCAGCTACAGCAGGTCAAAGCATCAAGTCTTGGCCACTCAACAAAGTGCACATCATCTAGCTGCAGACAGCTGCAAACTGCAGTATGAGCCAAATGCATGGAGGCCTGCTTCTGTTTTGAGTACCAAGGCAATGTCAGAAAGAGTTCAACTTGAACAATCGTGCTCAGGCCACATCTAGTGCTGGAACTTCCTGCAGAAGGCTGCGAAAAGGCCCATGTCATTGAGTGCAAATGCATTGTTGCGCGTCTTCCTTCTCGTGTGGCCTCATGACTTCCAGTGACTCCGATGATTTGGTTCAAGTGACAAGCTCCTGACTTTGCCAGTAGGGTCATCGCTGAACCATACAGCCATCATGGGAAGTGCCGCATCCCTCCAAGATGCAACCCCGGCACAGATCAAGGCTGGTTACAACACGCTGTCTGAAGAGGACATGCAAGCTTTGTGTGTGCGCATATCATTGCATGTTGCCAGTTGTGACACATGTGCAGGTTTAGAGTTAGAGTCAAATCAAGCATTTCGTAGGAGCAGAAGAAAATCTGGGAAGCACTTGGGATGACCAAAGCGGCCGTAGAAATTGCAGCACCGGCAACAGGGGAGGCTCCTGCCGAGGCCCAGCCTGCTGCGGAGGTGAAGAAGGAAGATGCACCAGCCGAAGCTGCCGCACCTGCAGCGGAGGCCCCTGCCGAGGCCCAGCCTGCTGCAGAGGTGAAGAATGAAGATGCGCCAGCCGAAGCTGCCGCACCTGCAGCGGCGGAGGCTCCTGCCGAGGCCCAGCCTGCTGCAGAGGTGAAGAATGAAGATGCGCCAGCCGAAGCTGCCTCACCTGCAGCGGCGGAGGCTCCTGCCGAGGCCCAGCCTGCTGCAGAGGTGAAGAGTGAAGATGCGCCAGCCGAAGCTGCCGCACCTGCAGCGGCGGAGGCTCCTGCCGAGGCGCAGCCTGCTGCGGAGGTGCAGAAGGAAGATGCACCCGCCGAAGCTGCCGCACCTGCAGCGGCGGAGGCTCCTGCCGAGGCCCAGCCTGCTGCGGAGGTGAAGAAGGAAGATGCACCAGTCGAAGCTGCGGCACCTGCAGCGGCCGAGGCTCCTGCCGAGGCCCAGCCTGCTGCGGAGGTGAAGAAGGAAGATGCCCCAGCAGTGGAAGAAACCCCGGCAATATCGGATGAGCTGCTTGCTCAGCTCAAGACAGCTTTCGATGCGATTGACACGAATGGTTCGAAGTTTATCGAGGCGTCCGAGCTGAAAACAGCTGCTAGCCTTCAACAGACAGTGTTTGTTCAATGCCAAGTTTTGTGGTAACAGGACGGAGAATGGACTCTCAGGCATTGGGAAAATTGAAGGTGGAGCTCTCTGAAGACCAGGTTGATGAAGTGTTCAAGAGTCCTTGCCTCACGGCCACAGAAAGTAGCAGGGCACATTCTCGCTGAACACTGCAAGATAATCCCGGCACTCAGGTGCAGACATCAACAAGGATGGGAAGCTCAGCTTTGATGAGTATAAGAAGCTGGTGTGCACAGGCGGGGGTTGCAAGACAGAGCCTCTTCATCCAGCACTGAATCTTTGGCGTCTATTCAGTCCATTATGCATTGCAGGTATGTCTTTGGCCCAATGAGTGTGGGACCGAGTCATTGCTGATTGGAGTTGACATGCTGAAAGCATCGTAGCTGCAGGCTTGTCGTGCCAGTTCATTTCATGGATGCGCAGGACGACCCAACTAACGACAGGCCCCTAAGTGGTGCTTTGAAGCCAGCTTGCCAGCTAGCCAAGTACAAGTAGCACTGTCAGCGCGTTGCAGATGCTGTGCCAGGTCTGTGGCGAAGTCACTCTCTTGCATGAAACGCCGATGTGCCATCGTTTGATGACACCTGTGGCCCACATCTAGCCCTGGTAGTTGACCAAGTCTGTGTACTGTTCCCGTGCTAGTTCCAGCATGGCCCATATCTACAATGATGGTCAACTCGAGGTTTTTTCTTAGCTCCGTGCAAGCTGGACAAGTGCCGGCAGAGTCGCGGAACCGCTGTCACCTTGAATCGTCCGCTCCTTCAAAGCCGTACGGCTCGGGGAACTATGCAGCCGAGCCAATAGGGCTTGGCTAGGACTTTTCACCGATGTGCGCTTGGTGTCAACAAAGCTGCTGTGCAATGACGCCCTGTCTACGTGTTGAGGTCTGAAAGTCTCTGTTACTCGACGGAGCTGGCATGCGAAGTTGCGTTGTTCGGCCCTTCTGCGCTCCAATTGGCTCAGCCTCTGTGGGTCTGTTGAAGTTATTGTATTGTTGCAACTTTGGACCGTGCAGGCCGCCTGTTCGGCAGAGCCACTCTTCCCGCGACTTCGAGCGGGATCAAGCCTCTTCCAGCATTGTTGGAGGAGGCGGCCTTTGTGTTGAGGTGGCTACGGCCCACTAAGAGCGGCGGAAAAGCCGACAAATGCGTGCAGCCCTTTTCACCAGAGGACGTGCAAGGGTTGTTGAGCCGTTGTGCATTCTGCTGCAAACGCCGTTGTCTGTAAAGCAGTGATGTTGCTTCAAGCAAGGTTTGGCTCTGAGTTGTCATTAAGGCGAAGGCGATTTTTGGAACAACGCTGCGGAGCATTAGGGACAAGACAGAAGCAGATCAAAGCATCAAGTCTCGGCCACACAGTCACGCACAAATCAACTAGCTGCAGACAGCTCCCGACTGCAGTATGGGCCAATTGCATGGAGGCCTGCTCCTGTGTTGAGTACCAAGGCCAGCAGAGATGTCAGAAGGAGTTCAACCTGAACAATCGTGCTCAGGCCACATCTAGTGCTGGAACTTCCTGCAGAAGGCTGCGAAAAGGCCCATGTCATTGAGTGCAAATGCATTGTTGCGCGTCTTCCTTCTCGTGTGGCCTCATGACTTCCAGTGACTCCGATGATTGGGTTCAAGTGACAAGCTCCTGACTCTGCCAGTAGGGTCATCGCTGAACCATACAGCCATCATGGGAAGTGGCGCATCCCTCCAAGATGCAACCCCGGCACAGATCAAGGAGACTTTCGGCACGCTGTCTGAGGAGGACGGCCAAGCTTTGCACGCATGTCGTTGCATGTTGTGCCAGTTGTGACACACGTGCAGGTTAGTTAGAGTCGTTAGAGTGAAATCGAGCACTTCGTAGGAGCAGAAGAAGATCACCGAAGCACTTTCGAAGGTCGAAGCGAAAGTAGAAGCTGCAGCACCGGCAACAGGGGAGGCTCCTGCTGCGCCGGCAGCAGGGGAGCCTCCGGCCGAGGAGGCCCCACCTGGTGCGGTGGTGAAGAAGGAAGATGCGCCAGCAGCGGAAGAATCCCCGATGTCGGATGAGCAGCTGAGCATGCTCAAGGCAGCTTTCGATGACATTGACACCAATGGTTCGAAGTTCATCGAGGCGTCCGAGCTGAAAACGGCTGCTAGCCTTCAACATAACGTGTTGCTCAATGCCAAAGCTTGTGATAGCAGGACCAAGAACGGACTCTCAGGTGTTGGGAAAAATGAAGGTGGACCTCTCTGAAGACCAGATTGACGCCGTGTTCAAACGTTCTTGCCTCACGGTAACAGAGAGGACCTGAGGAGCAGGCACTGAACTGCAAGATGCTCCCGACACTCAGGTGCAGACATCAACAAGGATGGGAAGCTCAGCTTTGATGAGTATAAGAAGCTGGTGTGTGCAGGCGGGGGGTTGCAAGACAGAGCCTTTTCAGCCAGCGCTGGGTCCGGCGGATGCCAGGATGCTCTGATCTGCAAGAGCCATTTTGTCTCGTGGTCTCTGGTGTCTATGAGTCTATGCGTTGCAGGTATGTCTGTGACCAAATGAGTGTGGGACTGAGTCATCGCGGATGGGAGTCGTGTCGAAAGCACTGTAGCTGCAGGCTTGTCATGCCAGCTTTGTTCCTGGATGTGCAGGAGAACCAGACAGACGACAGGCCCACGAGTGCACTGGTGCGTTGAAGACGGCTGGCCAGGTAGCAAATTTCAATACCTGGCAGATGCTTTGGCAATTCTGTGATGAAGCCCTCTACGACTGTATTCATGTTACAATGATGGACCAACTTCTTCACAGAAACGTCGAAGTGCCATCGTTTGATGACACTTGTGGCCCACATCTAGCCTTGGCAGTTGACCGAGTCTGTGATTACTGTTCCTTGCTAAGTCCACCATGCCCCATATCTACAATGATTCAAGTGATGGTCAACTCGAGTTATGTTCAGCTCCGTGCAAGCTGGGCAAGTGCCTGCAGAGTCGCGAAACCGCTGTCACCTTGCATCGTCCTATCCTAGCTGTAAGGCCCAGGGGGGCTGTGCAGCCGAGGCAATATGTCTTGGCTAGGACTGTTCACCGATATGCGCTCGGTGTCAACAAAGCTGTTGCGCACCGACTGCGGGAAATCCTCTGCTGCTCGATGGGGGCTGGTACGTGAAGTAACGTTGTGTGGTTCTCCTATGCTCAAGTTTGCCAGTGGGCAGCATCGGGAAAGGGAGCAAGGAGAGAAGGGAAGAGCTGTCCAAGCCACCGCGAGTCAGCCTATTTTCTCAGGGTACAGATGTGCTGAGGTGTGCAATTGTTGATGTTGCGTTGAAGCGACGGCGCAGGTCCATCCGATGCCACAGCTTTGCGGCAGCTGCGGGAGGTTTGCCGGTCTTTGCAGCGGCTTCGAGACAGTGCTACAGGGCTAGCCACTTGTGCGCAAGCCGAGTTTTTTTTGTTGCCTGTGTGGGAGGCGGCCCGCACGCGGACGCAGGGTGAGCTGTGCAGCCTCCTTGAGCGGCTCGGGTTGGGAGAGGCAAGGCCACACAGCCTGATAGCGGCAGTTCCCCCGAGTTGTTCTTAGATCCGAAGGTTCATGAGCTCGTCGCAGCCCTGTAGGGGCTGGCAGAGGCGCCGCTTACAGTATTTGCACATCGCTGCAAATGTGTTTCCTTTGTTGCCTTGGCTGTCTTGGCCGTCAGGGTCAGGGTGCCGATGCAGAAGGTCCGCTCGCTGAAGGCGATGCCGTGCCAAAATGCTACCTTGGGATAATGATGGCTCCACACAGGTTGCGATCCTGCCGTCGCTCTAGCCTGAGCCTGCATTGTTTGCTGTAGAAGTTGCAGGCTTGGCTCTCCCCTGATTCAATGGGGCTCGGTTCTCTCAAGCTGCTAGAGGTTGAGAGTCCCAGGATGAGATGATCCGTGAGAATTGTCAGTCTGCGAGGGCAAGGGGCGCGTGGCTGAGGTCGATCTCGTGCACCGAGTCCTGCAGCAGCACGGGACCCACCTGGTAATTCAACTTAGCAGCTAAAGGCCTGTATGAATTGTGGATAGCGGGGGTAAGTCCGGTCATATGTCGCTTGGTGCAGCGCCAGGCACGTCATCAGGAAGGTTTAGGGCTTCCAGAAGAAGAGCAAGGGGCGGCGGGGTGTTGGTCAAGAAGGGGTCCTATAGGGGCGTCCTTTCACGCGATTCAAGAAAGCATTCAGCGAACTGGGGTGGAAGGCGGGTGGGGTGGGCTGGGCTGGGCGGGGAATGACAACGTTTATGTCAGAGTCAATGGTGCTTTCAGAAATTTTCCGAATCCGTGCTTTCCAGGTTCGCGAATCCGTGGTTTCCAGTTCTCCCGTTCTCCGGTTTCAGAATCCATTTTTAGTTTCTCGAATCTGCGCTTTTGGTTTCCCGAATCTGCGTTCGTTTTCCGGTTCCCGACTCACATTGTCCAGTTTCGACTCCGCGCGTTTTCAGTTTCGAATGCGCTGCTGACCAGACCCTGGGGAGCCGAAGCTGCCCTGGTTTTGAGAATCTATTGGATGCTCCATCACAGCACCGGATCAAGCCCTAAGACCTGGCTCAGAGGAGTCAGGTGAAGCAAGTTCTGCTGTCGGATCAGAAGCTTCGAATGGGGTCCTGAGTCTCAAAGCACACAAAATGCCAAAGGCATCCAGCATCCTCATCGCACCCTCAACACACCCGCGCCCCTCCTTCCGCTCGGCAACTGTTTGTTCCATCCTTCGATTTCAGTTACTAGTGTTAGTCCCGCGTAATAATAAAGTAAACTCGGGGTAAAATAATAAACAAGAGACGAAGAAAGAAAATATAATGTGAAAATAACAAATGTAGTATGGAAATCATGCGTCTTTCATCCACATGTCCATAGATAAATGGGGCCTTCAATGAGTATTTGGGTTTGAATAATCCTATCGTGCGGTTACTGAAAGCCTGGTGTTGGGGTCTTGTTTCGTTCGCTCGTGAATTACGTTCGCTTGTTATGTTTATTTGTTGTTTTGATTGCTGGATCTTGGGATCTGTTGTTTCTTGATGCCTCATCCATTGAAGCAATTGTTTCCTGGTCGTCAGATTTTCTGCCGGGGAAGGTGGGGGGAGGGGTCAGCGGGTTTGGGAAGTTGGGCTTGGGGTTCGGGCCTTTGCGCCCAGTCATCCCGTTGTCTTCTGTGGCTTCTGACCCGTGCTATACCCGAGGTTGCAGCAGATGGAGCCCTTGGAGCCCACAGTCCTCGCAAACGCCGTGTGGTCGACTGCAAGGCTGTGACGTACTCAGAGGAGCCTCCCCAGAATCTTCAGGATGTTTGGCTAGCACGAAGCCAGGTCGGCAACCAGGGAAGAAGCAACAACGGGTGCGCAGCTTTGCGTGGCTTTGACGTGCGACAGTCTAGGAGTCTAGGCCCTAGGCAGATGGAGAATGTGTGTTCAGCAGACGTGAGCAGATGTCTGCAGCGATTCCCTTGGCAGCCTGGATTTGCTGAGCGAGCAATGCTGTCCATGCATAGCACGACAACAGAATAGTCACTTCGAATAGCACATGTAGTGATGCATGGAGGGTAGCCGAATATTCAACTGTGGCAGCCGTGGGCGTGGATTCTATGTGCGATCATGGTACCTTTTTCGTGGAGGTTATGCCTGTTGTACTCTGCAGCTGCTGGAATCTTCGCTTGTGCCGTGTTTTGGAACCCCGGCTGCAACAGCGCTTCTGACAGCTTGAGCAAGCACGTGAAAACCCCAGCGCTTGTTGCAGTCTGATGCTGAGGAATGCTCTGACAGGCGACTTCGTCTTCGATGATGCATATGCGATCGTCCAGAATCCAAACGTGTACTCTTCAACTCCACTGTCGAACTTGCTCAAGGATGACTTTTGGGGATTTCCGCTTCAGTCGGAGAAAAGCCACAAGAGCTTTCGACCATTGACCACCTTCACGTTCCGCATCCAGATGTCTCAAATGCGAGACACTGCGGACCAGCAGTGTGCCAACATGATGCATCGTGCCAATGTGCTTTTGCACGGCATCGTCACAGCAATGTTGGTTCCATTTTACCGAAAGTTGGGCTTCACCGACAGGGAGTGCTTGGCTGCAAGCCTGCTTTTTGCATGTCATCCTGTCCACGTGGAAGCCGTGGCAAGTCTCGTCGGACGTGCTGAACTTCTTGCCGCCTTTTGCTCCGTTTTGAGCATTCTGTTGTGGTCATCGTCCAACAAGCTATGGCCGCTTTCGATGCTGTCAGGTTCATTGGCTCTCCTTTGCAAGGAGACGGCTGCGGTCGTGGCTTTGCCGATGTGTGCCGTCATTCAGACTCTGGCATGCCTGGGTAAGCGATCCAAGAGATGGAACCTCCTGAAGGCGGTGCTGCCCTTGGTGCTCTTGGCTGTGCTACTGGTGGCACGGGTTTCGTTGCACGGTGGCTTTCAGTCCCGTCCCTTTCTGCATCCTGAGTCGAACCCTGCTGCTTTCGCGGAGAGCAGGATGACGCAGATCCTCAGCTTGCACTTCTACCTCTACAGGCTGGGCACTGGGCTAGGCTTATTGCTGCTAGCTTCCTTTGCATGGTCATGGCCGACACACGAAGCCAGTGGAACAAGTCAGGCATTTGATGCTGCTGCTGTGGCCTTATCCACTTTGCTGTGACTGGAGCTATGGGTCTATTCCCCTCCTGGACAGTTTTTCAGATCTTCGAAGTTTCGTACCGTTTGGCGTCATCTACGGCCTTCCCATAGCCCTATTGCGGCTTGCCAGTTGCTCGATGGCACATCCGAACATTGAACAATTAGTTGCACAGGTCCGAAAGGGCTGTTGAAGTGATGATGGTCCTAGTGACAGCGGTCTGATGCACGGTCTTGAGTGCATGCAGCTAAGGTACCCGAGAGAGTTTGGATGCCCCATCTCGGTCCTACCACCGAGGGCTCATGTTGTCCAGTGTTCTGCTGGCTGTTTCGATTTTGCCGTTTTCGAACATTCTCTTCACTGTGGGATTTACTGTCGCCGAGCGGGTGCTGTACATACCATCCATAGCAGCATGTGCCATCATGGGCCGATTATTTTGCGTATGTCTCCCAGCAGCTTGGCCAGTGAAGAGCAGCCTCGGCAGGTATGTCAACACTCTTCTTTTCTTTGCATGGTGTGGAAATTGGACACTTAACTGCTTGAATCAAAGTCTGGTGTGGCGGTCAGCAGAGTCGCTTTACCGTGCTGGCATTGATGCAAATCCACGCAACGAGAAGCTGCATGATCTCTTGGCTACCAGGCTTCAAAACAGCGGTGGGAACCTTGAGGAGGCTTTGTGGCATACTGAGCAGGCCATCCATCTCAATCCGGAGTACTGGCATGCCCATGCCACATTAGGCCAGCTCAGATCGAGCGCGGGCGACAAGTCAGCTGCCATTGCCAGCTACCAGAGGGCATTGATGTTGGCTGACAGACAGCAGCTAGATGATGTATCAGATGCACCAAAAGTTCGGCTTAACCTGGCAGTTCAACTCCAAGATGTAGATCGGAATGCTGCTGACTGGCACTTTCGCCGCCTTTGCTCTCTACCAGGCTCAGACCCACTGAGGGCCATGGGCCTTGTTGTTTTTGGTGCGTTTCTGGAATCCGGAGCCCGTGGCAAACGTGAGCCTCTTGAAGAAGCTGCGCACATGTACGAGGAGGCTCTCAAGTCTGTCGCCTTCGAGCAGAAGAGTGCCACCCACTTGCGCCTGGGCTCCGTCCTCCGCAGGCTCTCCAGGCTTTCTAATCTTTCTACTTCTGGCCTCGACAGACTTGAGGAAGACTCTAGCCGGCGTCGCTGTGCCTCCAAGAGCCCGCCTCCTGAACAGCCTCGCGGTCTGGGTAGATGGTGGCGGGTATGGAAGTGTGTGAAAGAGTCGACGAAGACAGAGGACCATTGCGAGAAGGAGATCGACCTCGTTGTGCTGGAGCCCAATTCTTCAAGCTGCCCGCGCTTGGGCGCAATAGCCACGATGGCGAAGGTCTGGCAGCGCCTTCAGGCATGTCTAGCGAAGGTGGGAGCTCTGCAAGGCACGGTTTTCAGTCGTCGGGAGTCAGGGATCTGGGATGCTTTTAGGGTTTCTTGGTGCTGAAGCACAGCCAGACTCAGAGCCTCAGCTAGAATCCCTGCGACAGATGCTGCCTCCACACGAAGCCCCTGGCCACTGCCACATTCGGAGTCTATGGCCATACGGCAAATGCAGCGAGGTGAGCTGCTGGTTGGTAGTTGCTCTTTTGACACACGCGCAGACTTGTGTTTTCATGTGCGGCCGCGTGGTCAATGTCGAGGCCTTGAACTTGCACCTGCTTCGATGGCACAGTCACTGGATCCTGGCGCGCGAAAGCGGAGGGAAGCCCTTGCTGTGGTTAGCGTGGCGCTGAGTTGGATCGGAACAATCTGAGCAGCCAAGCTGTTCTTGGGCTGCTCAGCAGGTGCCCGTTTGGTGAGCGAGGGGCGCATGTCTGAAGCCTCTCGGCTGCTGTCGCCCCACGACCCCACGGCTGCGCTCACAGTGATGGCAGACGAGCAGTTGAAGGCGCCGCATCCGTGATTGCAGAGCCGCTCCTTATTTGTTTGGCGCTTTGCTGCGCTTTCATGATCACACCTTGCGCAACCTCCCAAGGGTGGCGACCCATCCGTGGCCCTGGACGCGTATAAGGCCGCCGTGCTCTTGCGCCCCAGAAGCACGATGGAGCATCAAGAGCATCAAGAGCATCAAGAGCATCAAGAGCATCAAGAGCTCGTACTTGCCGCACTCATGCTGTGAGATGGTTGGTCAGGCATCCAAGTCGCAAAACCTATTTGGGGATGGCAGAATCGCTGCAGAAGCTGGGTGACAAGGCTGTAGAGTAGAGTAGAGGCTTGCGTCCTTTGCTGATTTCAAACTCTGCAAATGGGGTTGTTGGGTCAGTGCAATCAGGCGGCTGCAGCTCATCACCGACAATTGGCAAATCAGTTGCCAGAGAACAAGCGGGGAAAACTCGCCAAATGAGCTGAGCGATTCCTGTTACATCCTGTTAGCACTGTTGCACTTCCAGACGTCATGGAAGCCAGCCTGTTTGGCAGGTACTTTCAGCTCGATGCTTGCTCAGGCTGCATGGCATGTTTTCACGGGAGCAATGCGTGCAGATGGGTTGATGTACGTCCATTGTGTAAGAAACACGCAGGATTTGTAGGTTCTAGTAGTGTAGGCTGGAGGAAGAGGTCTTTACACCAACCGTCCCAGCACTCCTTCGCAGGTCGTGGAGTAGTTTTGCACACACGACCTGGCCCGTGGAGCTCTGAGAAGCGACAGACACTTGATGTGTCTTCCTTTTGTTTGCATAAGTTGTGCAGCTGAGGCATGTTGCAAGGCCTTTGAGCTTCAATGCTCGACGGCAGCTCCTTGATTGAGAAGGCCGGCACAAACATGAGCTGCAACATGCAGCGTCCCAAGTCTTCACTGTGAGGATCACCTCGGAAGATCTTCCATATGCATGTACGGCAAACTAAGCGCATCCAAGTACAATCTGCATGGCTCATGGTCTGCCGCAGATTTGTGGACTCGCAATGGTTCTGACAGAGGCTCAAGTATTGGCATGTAGTGGCCACAGTTGGCCGTCATTTAGACACGGTGGTTCCCCTGCTTGGATGCCCTTTGCGGGTCCTCGGGTTGAACGCGCCGACGTGGGCAAATACCGGCGGTTGAGGCAAGGACTCTGTCTCGTGCCGATACTCGGTGTCCTGGCAGGGGTATAATTACAGGGGTGATGCGCCGTGGTAGTCCCATTGGAGTGAGATTCTTTTTACGAGGAAGATTCTTGGTGATAGTGAATCAGCCGCCGGACTTCCACCAACTTAGGTGTGGGGCTTTCTTGGTTCCGGTCGCGATGTTTTGCCACTGCTTCCGCGCCTTCTGCGCAAGGACGCGATCTTCAGTCTTTGCCCACTGATGCTTGCCTTTGTAGCACGACTTGTTCTGGAATGACTTTGGTACAAGAAGACTCCACCTGTGGCTGATTCACGATTCATGCCGCGCTCAAGGTCAGTGTGCAGGTGATAACTTACAACCGCCCTGCCCTTCTGCTAGAAGCACTTTGCCAGATCGAAGCTCAAGACTATCCCGGAGAGCTCGAGGCCATGTTGCGGAGAGAAGTTTATGTGAGACAGCCTCGTGACTGTTGAGCTAATGGGTATCGTTGGAGTAAACAGCTGCATAGAACAGCTTTGCCCGCGAATGAGCCGCAGCAAGCTGTGCAGGTGTTAATCCTCGATGACAGCAGTACGAGCAGTGAGACAGACATCAGGCGTTTTGCAGAAAGTTCGCGACATGACATCCAGTACCGCGCCTGCAGCTGCAGCTTCATCAACGCCGTTTCCTTTCCGCTCCTTTCCTCTCCTTTCAGGCCTAAGCCTTAAAGCATCTTAAAGCGGCCTGCAAGGCTTCTTATCCCAGCGTCTCAGCATTGGCGAGAAGAGGAACCTGGCAGCTTCATCGACCAGCGCAGACTTCATCTGCACTTGGGATGACGACGACATTTACACACTGGACCGTGTGCGGCTGCAAGCAGAGTTTTTGAGCCGCAACCCGCGCTGCAACTGTGTGACTCTGCTTTTTGAGCTGCTTTCTTGAACGTAAGTTGAGGATGCCTGAGGATGCTTTGGCTGTAGCTGCGTGCACAGCTGCCACAGCTGCGTGCATCGTGTGTTGCAGTCCCGAGCACCTATGCCCAAGGCCACGATCGAGAGGCGTTTCTTCTATTGGCTGGAGGAAGGCACGCTGAGAGGATGCCCCCAGGCAGAAGTATTACCAGCACAATAGATTTGGGTACTACATGTGACCATTGTACTTCGAGACGTGTTTTGAGGTCGAGACATGCAGTTTTTGCCTCTGGAGAACACGCTTTGCTTTCGCCGACGATGGTTTGAGGCCTCCACTGATTGCAGCCCTCGACAACGTTTCGAACTTTGGTCTCTTCTTCCTTTTCGGATACGTTTCAAAAACTGCTCTTCTTTCAATACTGAGTTCACCTTAGCTTTCACTATCTTCTTTGTGTGCTTCTTCGGGGTCATGAAAGTATCATCTGCTTATTCTGCCCCTCCAATCTGGTTGTAATGGTAAATGCTTGCGCGCGCTGGCCCAATGCGTGTAGCAGGCGAAACGGTCTTAGGAGGGGTTCCAGGGGGGGTCTCAAGAGCGCCCCATGCAGAAGAGGCACAGTCGTGACTCACGAGGGGGTCCCAGGCCCCAGGGGCAGGGGGGTCCCACAAATTCCCATTGCGTTTTCGTGCTTCTGGGCGTGGTCTCTGTGGGAGGAAGGAGCCCACGGCCTGGAACCCGGCGGTCGGATCTCGGCTCGTGCAGCAGGACCCCTCGCCAAACCCGCTCCGCAAGGGGGGGGGCGGCTTCCAATAAGTCGTCCCAATGGTCCACATGACAGATGACAGCTGATCGATACATCACTATCTGTTGTACAGAAGTGTTGTCATTGCACGTATGTGCAGGTAATGCCCTCCTCTCCCGGGCTCCCTCGCCCCCTCCCCATGCCCTGTCACAGCCCACGTGGTTCCAGGATGTGCTTTCCGTTGTCGGTCCGGCTTTTCTTTGTCATGCTTCTCCTGTTACTCTCCGGCGCTTTCCGCGTTACCTTTCAGAGCATCTCTGATACCACGGACACCAGGGAGGGCGAGCTATTTTGTGGAAACATGTGAAGGCAGGGCGACGCTTCGATAACGGAAGCTTGAATGAGGGTCTCGGACTTCTTCGTGGCGCTAGAGGCGTGAAGCATCCAGGAAGGTGGGGCATCGCCGTGGAGTTGGAGAGGCATGCATGGTAGGCTTCCCCCAGGCTTGGTATATTGCCGATGTCTGCGGAAGAGTTGCCTTTCCTGTGTGCTGGCTGCAGCAATTCGGCGACACAGCTGCAGAACAGTCCATGCTTCAGCCTGCAACACACATCGCTGAAGGTACGTGAAACACAGCGGTTCAATGACTGGTGGTGAAGATGTCCATGCAGAAGCAGGAGCGATGCACGTCACTTCATTTGTGAGAGTCTTCTGAGGATTTTAGGAATGCGTGCCAGGAGCTTCACCAGGCGCAGAGCCCTCGCTGCTGCCCCTGGTGCGTGCTTTCTGTCTGCAACGATTTCCGCAGTTGCCTTCTTGCCGGTATCACTCGCGCATCCTTGGAGATGTGGGTGACCTCTTGAGTCTCTCGACAGATTCATGCGCATGCAGCAGCATGTCACCAGTTCTTGATGCGGAATAAGGGGGGGATCCGGTTTGGCTGCCCAAGGAGAGCTGGTGGCCAGGGATCTGAAGAACATGCGAGAAGAAGAAGATGCCATGCAGGAAGCTTGCATCGCCATCGGATGTGTCTTTTCAATCGATATCGTTGACATCATGTTTGTCAGCGCAGGCTGCCAGCTATCTGGAGGCTTTGACGGGGCAGAGGTCAGAATGTACGTCCCTTCAAGGAGAGCTTCCGAAAGCTTTGTCTTCGGAGAAGAATGCTTGACAACTACGCATCCTCACAGGACTGATCGATGGCATTGAGGACTTTCAGGCAGCTCTTGTGACAGGGCAATGTCCTCAGCAGCCTGCAGAGGAAAAGGAAAATGCGTGAAGACCCCGGATGCAAGTGCTACTCCATGCAGTGCGTCACATGACACGCTGCTGCAGCGTAAACCTCCGTAGTTGCAGCTCTTCAGCAGGCGACAGGCACCTAGTTGTTCCGCAGTGTGGATCGAGCTGTCCAGTGCCCAGTGAAATGGCATCTTCCAATTCTTCCAATGTCTGGCGCAACATACCCTCAGAGCGTCTCTTTTGGCTTGCCGGCCGGGGCCCCGAATGTGGCAGTCGGCAGCAGTGGTAGCCTGCTTAGTTTCCGAACAACCCTCTGCAAAGCACCTGCGCAAAGCATCCTCGGTGTGCCAAACAGCCTCAGCCGTAAAGTTCCCTCGGCCCTCAAGCGAAAAGATCCTTCAAAATGTTTTCTTGAGGCGGAAGTGGGAGCTCATCTTCCGCGCAGAAGGTGATTGAAGCCCAGGTGAGAACCGAGGGAACTAGGTTCCCTTCTTGTGTTGCTTGATGTGAGTGGTGCGCTAGGGCCGAAGCTGTGGCACCGTGCTCTGCCTCGAAGAGCTGGATGCCGCTGTTTCTTGGCAACAGCCCTATGCCACCCCGCTTGCTGCAAGAGTAGCGGATTTTTCATCGCTTTAGCGAGCGTGGCGATGGAGTGGAAAAGGCTCACCTGAGACTCTCGCTGCCTTTCTTCGCTGACTCCTTGCTCGGAGCTGTGCATCTGTATGGTCCTCTGGGAATCGAGCCTCGGGCCGAAGTAGCGACGTCTTTTCAGGACATGCCTGGCGCAGTGGGCCCCGGCTGAGTCTTCACGACAGGGGTTCAGCTCAGGATACGATTTTGGATTTTTGTACATATTTGCGGACGACCATGCAAGAGGTTGGGCCGTTGTGCTGGTATTTTCCAGTCTTGCCTTCTCAGCTTTCCCGCCAGGGGTGATGCTAGTTTTGCAGGTCGATCCGAAAGATTTCGTTTGCTTGACTTGTTCCCGAAGACCTGGCGCAGTGTCCTGACGCAAGGTGTTATGAGATATATGAGAATCATCTTCCGAATGCGCAGACAAGACAGTATGAAGCTGGACTCAATCAGCTTCTTTTACTTTGCTTGAGATCTTTTCGAGGTGCCCAACTCCCTTCTGCTTCTTGGGGCGTTCTTGATCCTTGAGCAAAAGTGGTCGGCAGAGGAGGCTGTGACGTCATCCAGTAGACTGAGAATGGCCAAGAGGGGTCTCCAGCCACTGGCCGCTAGCCACTAGCCGCTAGCCACTGATGTGGTGTCTGCGCAGGTGGCCTGCCTGCTGAACCAAGAGGGCGGACGAATCTCACCAGTGGAGCTGCGGTTTCCGACGCCCTTTACAGCCGCACGCTTTGCTGACAGCAGAGTTTCCACGCGCGTAAGCGTACGGCGTCGGGTACGCTTGCAGAGTAAGCAGTTCACACCCTGATTTGAGGCAAAGCCTCACTTCACAGCAGACTCTCTGAGCCTGGAAGATTGTAACTTGGCACGTCTTCTTTAAGCATTCCGTGTGATCCTGGCATTTTTTAGGGTTACCTTGTTTGCGTGCCCCTGTTTTTGCGGAGGCCTGCGTGGCCTGGAGACAGCGGTCACGAAGGGATGGCTTGACAGAAGCCAGGAGAAGGAGCAAAGCGAACAAACCCCCTCAAGCATCTGAGTGCTTGTTTCAACTTGGCACATAATGACATCCCTGGTGACGCCTCGGAGGAGAGACGAGCCACAGCAGCAGCGTTTGATGCTGTGCCAGTGTCTCGTCAGCAAAGTGGCAGCCGAAGATGCGCAGCCCAGAAGATGTGGGGAACGTCGTAGGAACCTCGATCAGTCAGTTCTCAGTTCTCTCTTCTGAGGTCTTTTCTGTGGCCTTGGACAGTCCCAACTTCGAGCACATGGCTTCCATCCGCTTCTGGATAGCGGCCGATCCCGTGACCACAGTTGAGGTCTGCCCTTTGCATGCTAAGCCCTGCTAAGCCCTGGCTCTTATGAGCTGTTGGCCTCGTCCGCTGTGTGTGGCCATGTGATCCTTTAGGTTGGGCTCCTGTCTTGTTGCACTGGAGGACTCGTCCAAGCGACCAGATCCGATACGAAAGTGCCCAACAGCACATGTTTTGACGACCGACTCGCCTTCTACGATCAGTACGAATCCGGACAGCTTCTTCAGCATTCCGAAGTCTGTGTCCGATCCAGGTGCCACGTTGTCGCCAATGTCAGCGAGAAGTATGCATAGTATTGTTTGCCTTTACAAGTCCCTGTCGCACATCCATACCATGGATGATGATGGGATGCCGTCTGCAACACCTAAGCAAGTGTGGCGGCAGCGCGCAAAGCACCTGGAGCGAAAGCTTGGCCAACCGAGAGCTGGCTTCTTTGCGGAGAAGCCGGCTGTTCTCCCGACCAAGGCTGGATTTCCCACTGTGCCGGTTTAGGGTTTAGGTTAGGGTTTAGGGTTTAGGGTTTAGGGGTTCAGGGGTTAGGCTTTAGGGTTTAGGGTTTAGGGTTTAGGGTTTAGGGTTTAGGGTTTAGGGACGGGTTGCAGATTCATGGAAGCTCTTCCGTGAAGAGTCGCTCGGGGCCGGGGCGTGACTTGAGATTGCCGCAAGGCATGCAGTGGCTCATGTTAGCATCAGTTGCTGCTGCTTGTGAATCTGGGTTCATTTTGTTAAGAACATCAGAGTGCTCGTATCATGCAACGTATTCTTTGAGGTGAACTCATTGTCATGTCGTACGTTTTCAGGGCGTATGTGTGCGCTGGGGGCGAGAGAGCGAGAGTGCGAGAGTGCGAGAGTGCAACAGTACTGCCACGGAAGCGCAGTGGACTGAACCTACACTCTTCTTTTAGAGGGTAGGCCGATGTGTCTTGACATGTGAGTCAAAGATGGCATGTTTTGGTTATGCTCCGATAAAGCAGACAGACGTGTGCTTTGTAAGTTGTAAAGCTGAAGCCAATTGCCTTGCAGCACCTGTCTTGTACTTTACCCAGGAAAGCCCAAGCAGCATTTCAATCATATTTTGCAGGTTCACAAGACAGACGGCACACAGTCGGTGCAGCGCCCGGCAGACCTGCCGGCCTTTGCCAACTTCTTGAAAGACGAGCTAGGCGGGTGAGATTTTGTTTGATCTTCTTTCTAGCGACTCGTAGTCGTAGCCACTTGCCCGAATTGATGCTGGGGGAAATGGAGCTGATCTTGCCTTTTGGGCAGGTTGCTCGTTGCTGGTGCGCGGCAACCACGGCAACGAGAGAGGCATCGTGGGGTCTACCTCGACTTTGTCTTGTCACTGTGAAGCGCTTGATTTTGTACCAAGGATTGCCAGCTGGGGGATCCTACCAGGACTTCTTTCAAAGGCTCCGAGCATGCTCCTACTGATAACTTGAGTGATCTCCATGCATGGTGTGGATGCGAATGAAGTTACTGCAGCAACTCAGAGAGCCATAGACACCCCGTCGGTGGCATTGTTGCACGCAGCAGCAAATAGCTGATGCTATGCTGACCACGGGATTGTGCAGTACGTCGAATGGAAAGTTTTAACTGAAGGTCATCTCGTCCTCTTGTCTCAATCCTATTGGACGCTTGCTACAACGTCTTGACATCTGTGATTTGGGGTGCAGGTGGGGTGTCAAACAGCTTGACGTTCCCTTCGCGGATGGTACCTTGGTGCCTATACGCTGCCATGAGAAGGGCTTGATGGCCTGACCACTGTAGTGCATGCAAGTCGATGCCTACAGTGTGAGCAAACCTCACAACACCTCACAACGCACGAGGCACTGCGCCACCATCCCGCTTGGTATCGGACCTTATCGCGGCTGTGGAAACTCTACTGAAAGACATAAGCACAAAGGAGGACACCGGGCTTTAATCACATAGCAAGTTAAGTTCATGTGCACTCCCAGAAAAGAGACGTGCTTGTCTACAGGAGGAGAAGCAGGTCAAGAAGCACCACTCGGGACACTACTCGGCGTCTTGCTTGAAGTGGCCTGCTGGTGTGCCATGCACAACTGTAGCGCTTCTCATAATTTGGCTTTGCGCCTGCTTTGGAGAAGTGTCGCGAATTCTTCTTTCCAGCATGCAACACAGACAAGGCCTGCAGTGCAGGCATGAACTCTAGGACACAGTTTGCCGTGGTGGTGCATGCAACTTGTGCAACATATACCTTCGACCAACTTGTCCTTACTCCTTTTGACTCGTTGGCTTTCAGCATGTTTGCATGTCTCGGCCAAAGGTTGTGGTTCACTGCAAGTCCGGGCTCGGACGATCCATGTCTCTGTTGGCTGCTCTGGCAGTTGCTTTATGTCCAGGTGCTGGTTGCATGGATTTGGCATTCATTGTGTAGCTCGCCTCGTGAACATGTGGGGTTGTTCGAAACTTCCGCCTTTTGACAGTAGAGTAGGGCGGCCATACATTTTTGCCAGCGATGAACCATGTCGCCTAAAACCCGCATGGCGCAAGGGGGCGCAAGGGCGAGCACAAGGGCCAGTGAAAGGGCGATTATCGATGCATTGTGTGCTTATTGCAAGTGTTGCGCCCTAAGCCCTAAAACCCTAAACAGTTGTGATTTGTGGGCCCAAAGGAGCTTGTCAGTACCAAGTTTTGTAGTTGGCGTGTTTGCCGGCATGGCCAAACACCAGCACGGTGCAAGGGCGAGGGCGCAGGGCGAGGCGCAAGGGCGAGGCGCAAGGGCGAGGCGCAAGGGCGAGGCGCAAGGGCGAGGGCGCAAGGCGAGGCGCAAGGGCGATGCGCAAGAGCGAGGCGTTTTGAACAACATCCATGTGCGCTTTGTGAGTCTCACGGCGCGAGTCTGTGCAGGTCTCACAGCCGGTGCTTTCTTTGGCTGGGCTCGGCTGGTGCGGCCGGCCTGCCTACAGACTCCACCACAAGAGCGGTTTCTCCGCTCGCTTGACGAGGAGAGGAGCCTCGCCAAGCAATGCTGGATTTGCCGTCGTCCTCTAGTTCTCATGTCAAGAAGCATGGTCTTTCATTCTTTTGAATAAAGAATGGTGATCTCCGAGGGACGCTGTCTGTAGCTGCCTGTTCGTCACTCGGCGAAGTTGGTAACTCTGTTCTCCGTGCTGTTCTTTGCCTTGAAGGCGCTCTCAATCAATGGGTTTCGATTCCAGGCCTGCTTCGGCAAGCCACGGACGCAGATGTCCGGCAAGCATCTCCTTGGCAGGTATTGCGCACGGAATTGTATCATGCTGGTGCACACGAATCATGAGAGAGGCTCCACGTATGCACCAATGACAAGTCTCATTCCAGGACGCAGCAGAAGCTCTGAGCTGACGATCTCTCATTCCGTTTGCAAGTCAGGTGTGCAGTGACATCATCTGACTAATTTAACCGATTTAACCCAGTGAACACATCAATTGAAATTTCATCCAGTTGACCGCCAGATCGGCAGAGGTGAGTGGCTTGAGACGACGTCTCGAGTCCGTGCTCGCTGGTCTGTGCTGTAGATGCAAGAACGATGTCCTTCCAGGCTGCCCTCGCGTTTAAAATGTTTAAAGATCATAAGCCATGCTAAGCCTCTCTACTCGTCTCTCCCCGGGCTAAATGAGGGACACGGCAACTGGCCGATGCCGGTCATGACAGTCCACGTGTGGTTGCAGAGCAATTGGAGTCCCGCTGCCACAAGTGCAGAAGCTTGTGCCCGATTGGTTGGAGACCAATCCAGCAGCTGCATGGTCGCCATCGGCCAGTGAACGACCTATACTTCTCTTTCATTTCTCTTGCAATTGCAACCTCAGAATTTTTGGTTTTTCGGTGCACGGCGGGGCGGGGACATGTCGCAAAAGCTCTATGCCACAGAACAAGACTTGCGGTCGCTGAGTGTTATGTATCCCGATGCCTCCCCGCGATTCTGCACCCAAGTTTTGCTTGGTTTCCCATGGTAGCAGCACAGTACAAGCGCGAGTACAAGGCTGACAAGCATCACGTGCTCGATCAGCTCTGTGAACTGGGCTTCATGGAAAGCCTCAAGTTTCCTTCGGATTGGACCACCGTTCAGTTCGCGGGTCAGACACGGTAGCCTTGAGGAACGAAACTTCTACGAACTCGTAAGAAGATGTTGAATCCTGGAGCTGTCCGGCCAGTTGTGGAAACCACTTCCCACCCGTCAAGAACAAGGCTTGCCGATCAGTGGACACGAGACTCCACTGCCTGAGCACTGGCTAGGTTTCTTAGCTTGGCCGTTCTGTGACGATCTCAGATCAGTACCTGTACAGCCACAGGATTCACACTGCCGAGGTGGCATTGAGCGCTCCAGCTGTTTGAAGTCGCAAGAGTCAGGATAGGCACACCAGATTGCAGATTTCGTCACAGTTCGAAGTGCCAATGTTGTCTTGCTGTATCAGCAGTTCATCCAGAGAAAGATAGTCCTCCGCAATTTTACTGGCAAGCGTGTCCCAAGAAATAGGACAAGGAGTGAGCCTTCAGAGTGGACATGCGGCTCGCAAAAGTCTGGTGGCCTGTTCATGCTTTCATCTGCGCAATGCGACCAGAGCCGATGTCTGCCAGCTTCGCTCGCGCCCCAGTAGATCACACGCCTGGAGGTTCTGGCCTTGCTGGTGCAGTAGAGAAGGTCGGCATCCCGGCAGGACGCCTTGACCTGCTTTTGGCAAGAAAGTAGTTTCCTTGCGGCTTGCCTCTCTCTCCCAGTCTCTCTCTCTCTCTCTCCCGGGTCTCCCCGCGTGTCACTCTCTCTCTCTCTCTCTTCGTCTCTCTCTCTCTGTGTCTCTCTCTCTCTCTCTTTTATCTCTCCCTCTCTTTTTTGCATCTATTTTTGCGCCCGGAAGCAATTTCGAAAAATCTGCGGTCTCTAAATGTTAACAAAATCTGAATTGAATCAGTCAGGCCTGAAGGGGCTACGACCTTTACAGCTCTTGCGCTCACTTGGGGTAACATGGGTCGTTGGTTTTTCATGAGTCTTGCCAGGATTTGGTTCAAGCTGCCTGGCGCTTGTGGTCTCATTGTTGTTCATGGTTCTGCATTGTTGAGTATGTGGAAGATTGTGGAACGTATTTGAGAGCCAAAAGGCCTGGTCGCTTGCTTCTGTGCGAGCTGGGGGAGTCACTACAGTCACTGTGCTGCATGAACCGCAGCTTGCCGAGCTGAGCCCGAAGGCTTGGACTGCCCATGACAATTCATGACATCTGTGGGGGAATCTGTGGGGGAATCTGTGTCAATCTGCTGCACATTGGTTGACATCGGCAGGAGCTTGCCAGCATTACGTGGTCATGCAGCGTGCTGTCAGGGACGAAGCTGCACGTTGCTCATTTCCGGGGAGCGCTCTTGCTGAGAAGCCCTGCTGAGGTAGGCTCGAGATGCGGCGCTGGCTCGCGCGCTGGCGGTCCGCACTTGCTAGTCATCAGCACAGTCGGAGTCTAAGTTTCGATCTGAGTTCTTGTGGTTGCCAAACTTGCACTGTGCTATGCATCTTTGCCATTAGTTCCGGCTTGTCAGTTCCTTTGGCTACTGCCCTCAAGTTCTCCCCATTCCCATGCCACGGGGGTCGACTAAGGTTTGTAGCACATCATCTCGGCAGCGCTTTGTGATCTCTTGTCCCTCTTCAGCAGAGCTTCCTGCGTGCTGCTTATGGGCAGAGATCAGTGGAAGATCTCCCCTGCAGTAGGTGCAAATGAGTTTTCCAGAGACGCCCGTGCTGAATGCAACAGCCACACAAGTGAGCCTCGGCAGCACTTGAGCCGGTTTTACCAGGTTAATTCCGATTGGCCTTTCAAGAATGCCGAGAGAATCCTGTTTGCCATGTCATGGATCACGCTACGCTGTTTTCAAAAGTCAGGTGCCTCAGGGCCCACGAGTCCGCCGCGCAGCACCCGGCAAGCACGCCGCCACCTTTGAATATCTTTGAATTTTCATTCTTGATCTCCTTCGAACAAATAGAAGACCTCCTGTCACTCCCAGGCTGTGTGACTTGGCAAAGACGCAGCTCTCGGATGGCCCTTTGATGGACACAGCCTCAAGGGTGTTGCCGAGATGCTTTTTAGGGCTTCGCTCGGGGTGTTCTGATCGCGTTGGGAACTTTCACTGTAGGCATCCCCGGCCACGGAGACCAGGCTTGAAGAACTTTCGGCGCAGGCCTTCGAGATGGCTGGATCCCCCCCTGTCAAGCCTCTTCAAGATTCTGCCTGACAGGATCCTGCAAAGGCTTGCTGGTCACCGGTGAGCGTCAGCATCGCATCGTCCCAGGCTCGTGGGACCGTCCGTGGGTTGAACGAGCCGGTTGAGGGAAGCCTGCGCGCAGGTCCGAGTCCGTGTGGCTGATGCCATCGCGGCCAGGGCCTTGGACCAAGCGACCCTGCTAGAAGAGCTCGTGGGACTTTGTTTTAGCCAGGATTTTTTGTGTAGGCTCTTTCGTTCCCTTTTGAATTCGTTCTGAGAAACTTCTGGACACTGAGGCCAGGATTCCATGTGATGCACACAACCTGGCAAGCGCCGGTCTTGGCACCCTTTTTTTGACAATTTGATCCTTCTCTCTTCGTAAACCTTCGTGCTGCGTTGAGCTTTTAGACTTCTGGTTTGGGGCCAGCGGGAGCGAGCGTCAAGTCAGGAAACGTTTTCCCGAGTCACCACACGCCTCGGACCCAAGTCAAAACCAGAACAAGACCTCCCCGGAGAAAATCCCGCAAGTCCTGACAACTCATGATTTCGGATGTGCTGGGCTTTAGGATTTCTGGGTTTAGGGTTTAGGGTTGGGGTTTTAGGGCGGTTCAAGGGTTTGGGGTTTAGGGTCCCCATTCCATTGAGAGCATTTACCTTTTTCATGTTAAGCTGCTTATACTTTTTTCGCTTTCTCTTACCACTTTGAGTTGTGTTGGTGGCTGCTGAGTGCGGCATTCGCGTTGAAGAAAAGAGAGAAAACCCCGGAAGGGAGGTCTATTTTTTTTAAGGATTTTTTTTTGGTTTCTTGTCCTTGCTACTGAACCCTAAACCCTAAACCCTAAACCCTAAACCCTAAACCCTAAACCCTAAACCCTAAACCCTAAACCCTAAACCCTAAACCCTAAACCCTAAACCCTAAACCCTAAACCCTAAACCCTAAACCCTAACCACTAAACCCTAAACCCTAAACCCTAAACCCTAAACCCTAAACCCTAAACCCTAAACCCTAAACCCTAAACCCTAAACCCTAAACCCTAAACCCTAAACCCTAAACCCTAAACCCTAAACCCTAAACCCTAAACCCTAAGCCCTAAACCCTAGACCCTAGACCCTAGACCCTAGACCCTAGACCCTAAACCCTAAACCCAAAACCCGATGCGGAGCTGCAGGTTGTATTCAGGAATTGAATGGAAGGTTAAAGAAAAGGGTCAATGTGCCCGGTGGTCTTTGGCTCAAGGATGGCCAGAAGTACTGAGGCCATAAGCTCAAAAAGGGTAGAGCCCGCGTGGTTGGGGTTGGGGTTGGTTCCTAGGTGCTTAGGCATAGGCCTCCTTTACTCCCTTCCCTGGTTCTCCTGGTCCGTGTTCTGTGTTTGTTGTGCTGGTCGATCTGGGGAATATAAGTTGTGGGCGGTCTTTGGGGTTGATCCCGTTCCCCCTTTGGTTGCCCCCCGTAGGTTATGAGCCCAAATTAGGTTCCCTGCGGTTCGTGTTTAGGCTTAAGGGTGGTAATCCTAAGCCTTCGAAGCAATGGCTTCCAACTGGCTGCAGACTGGATCTACGTCATCGAACCCCAATGTGGGCGATCAAGGTGGAATGGGTGACAAGAGGTCTGCGACTGGTCAAAAAATGATTCCCAATGCGGAAGCTCTGGTTGATGCTGGTGGTATGCGTGGCGAAGAGAAGTCGGTGGTAGAAAAGGTGGAAGACGAGATGGAAGTGGTTTTGCTGCGTCTTCTGCGCAAACATGGACTTGATCTTCGTGCCATGGAACCTGCTGGGTCAACGGGAGTATTGGAGGCAAGCTCCTCTACATCAAAGTTGGTGGAACAAGGAAGCCAGACGGATCTGGTTGGGAATGTTATTCCTGTGTTCAAGCGAGCTCGAAACAAAGTGAGCGGCGCGACTGAAAGTGGTGATCTGTTGACAGGAGAAGCGGAAGAAACTGCACCTGTTGCTGCAATAAAAGGCAGTATCCTCTTCACTGGGGACGCAGAAGGAATTGAGCCTATTACTGGGGTGATGAGTGAGGAAGAAATCCTGGAGTTGGAAGCGGCGAGAATACGGCAGGAGTCGGAGGAGGACTTATATGCTGTTGATGAAGGCAAAGCGCCTCAAGCTGCTGACACTTCGATCATTGCCAGTGATGGGACGATGT